CTCATGTCTATTTCCATTTCCCGGCGTAATGTTTTCTTTGGTCTTCCTTTTTTCCTTTGGCCTTGAGGATTCCATGTGAGGGCTTGTCTTGTGACGCAGTTGGGTGCTTTCCTCAATGTGTGTCCTATCCACTTCCAACGCTTCTTCCTGATTTCTTCCTCCACTGGGATTTGGTTTGTTCTCTCCCACAGTAGGTTGTTGCTAATAGTGTCCGTCCAATGGATCTGAAGTATTTTGCGTAGACAACTGTTAATAAACACCTGTATTTTCTGGATGACGGCTTTCGTAGTTCTACAGGTTTCTGCCCCATACAGTAGAACTGTCTTGACATTTGTATTGAAAATCCTGACCTTGGTGTTGGTTGACAGTTGCTTTGAGTTCCAGATGTTCCTCAGTTGTAAATATTCTGCTCTTACGTTGCCGATTCGCGCCTTCACATCTGCATCAGATCCACCCTGTTCACCAATTATGCTGCCCACATATGTAAAGGTTTTGAAATTTTTCAAATCTTCTCCGTCAATTGTGACTTGATTGGTGCATTCTGTGTTGTATCGAAAAATTTCGCTTTTCCCGTTGTGTATATATTGAGACTTACTGATGCTGAGGCTGCTGCTACACTGGTCGTCTTCTCCTGCATTTGTTGTTGCGTTTGGGATAGAAGGGCCAGATCATCTGCGAAGTCTAGATCGTCCAACTGCATCGTAGTTGTCCACTGCATCCCGTGCTTCTCTTCAGATGTTGACGTCTTCATGATCCAGTCGATCACCAGGAGAAAGAGAAAGGGTGAGAGTAAGCAACCTTGCCTAACACCGGTCTTCACTTCGAACGACTTTGTCAACTGTCCTCCATGCACGATTTTGCAGTGTAATCCATCATATGAGTTCTGTATGATATTGACTATCTTCTGAGGCACACCGTAGTGTCGAGGAAGTTTCCATAGTGTTGTTCTATCCACGCTGTCAAATGCCTTTTCGTAGTCAATGAAGTTGATGTAGAGTGATGAATTCCATTCAATTGATTGTTCCACAATGATCCGTAGAAATGCGATTTGGTCTGTACACGATCTATCCTTACGGAATCCTGCCTGTTGGTCTCGAAGTCGGGCGTCTACGCAGTCCTTCATCCTGTTTAACAATACCCTGTTGAAGACTTTTCCCGGTATTGAGAGAAGAGTGATGCCCCTGTAGTTATCACACTTGCTGAGATCGCCTTTCTTCGGTATTTTGATCAGAAGTCCTTTCTTCCCAGTCTGTTGGTACTTGCTCTTCATCTCAATTATTATTGAAGAGAATGTGGAGTATCCTTGCAGTTGCCGGTACGTCTGCTTTTAGTGCCTCTGCTGGGATGTTGTCCGGTCCTGTTGCTTTGCCACTCACGGTTTGTCTGATGGCCATGCTTATCTCTTCAATTGTTGGTGGGCCAACATCGATTGGGAGGTTCGTGGGTGCTGCTTGGATGTTGGGTGGGTTCAGTGGGGCTGGTCGATTCAAGAGTTCTTTGAAGTGTTCTACCCACCTGTTTCGTTTCTCTTCAATGTTGGTGATTACCTCGCCTTCCTTGCTTTTCACTGGTCGTTCTGGTTTGCGGCGATTTCCAGAGAGTTTCTTTGTCGTGTCACACAGTTGTCTCATGTTTCCTTCTCTTGCAGCCTTTTCCGTCGTCGTTGCTAAATCTTCCACATATTTACGTTTGTCAGTTCTGATGTTCCTCTTCACTTGTTTGTTTACTTCTGTGTATTCAGCTTGTGCCTTGGCTTTTTCTGCTCTTGTTTGGCTGGTATTGATTGCTGCTTCCTTGTTCCTCCTTTCTTGAATCTTATCCAGTGTACCAACATTGACTCGTTCCTCGTGGTGGTGCTTCTTGTGATCCAGGATCTCATGACATGTTGAAGTGATTGCCTCTTTGATCCCCTTCCAGTTGCTCTCCATATTAGTTCCTTCTGCATTGAGTAGATCATGAAAGTCTTGGAAATTAATGCTGAGGGCTATCTTGAATTCGTTGAGTTTGCCAGTATCCTGAAGAAAGGCCGTATTGAACTTTTGTGATATTGTCCGCCCCGTTGTCCAGTAATTCTTGAGTTTAAATTTCATCTTGGCGACCAGCAAGTGATGATCTGGTGCCATATCAGCTCCTCTCTTGGTTCTCACGTCCTCTATAGTCCTCCTGAACGTTTTGTTGATGCAGATATGGTCGATTTGCTTTTATGTTGTGTGATCCGGTGAAGTCCATGTGGTTTTGTGTATGCGTTTATGTGGGAATATAGTGCCGCCTATGACCAGTTTATTGAAGGCACATAGGTTTGCAAATCTCTCACCATTTTCGTTTCTTTCTCCCAGTCCGTGTCGTCCCATGATGTTTTCATATCCAGTGTTGTCCGTTCCAACCTTGGCGTTGAAATCTCCCATCAGAATGGTCAGGTCCTTTGTTGGGCTTTTCTCGACGATTGACTGCAGCCTATTGTAGAATTGATCTTTAGCGTCTTCATTGTAGTCGTTGGTAGGCGCATAGCATTGGATGATGTTCATTGAAATGCCCCCTTTCTTTGTTTTGAACGAGGCTTTGATGATCCTTGGTCCATGAGATTCCCATCCTATAAGTCATAATTCTTCTAAATGAAGACCTTCTGACTCCAAGGACAGAGTTTAAAAGGTTTGAATAATTTATTCTGGTTAGCGTTTTTTTAGCGAGTTAGTTTTCTACGGAATGGGGTCACTAACCCCATGCCCAACCCTCCTCCTTTATCCGGGCTTGGGACATGCAGTAGCCCCCGGAGAGACTCCAGGAGGAGTTATAGGTGTAAAGTAATTATCTTCAACTGTTTATCATCGAAATCTATAATGTGTTTGAAGTAGTAGACAAATAAGAGACGTGATTTCTCCAACAAACAAATGCAAGCGTTCAATGATATGGTTATGTCATTGAATAAGCACATCGACGTATAATAATTAGAACGTTAAATGTTTATTTATTTTTGAGAGCATTCCAGAGGAGATCTAACTATTTGGTTATATTGTTGAATGGATAAAGCATAAATCCTGCAAATCTCTGTTCTGAATCTCAGTTTACTCAGTCTTGTATTTCAGTGGTTCCTGGCATGACATAAAAACTTAAAATGATATGTTACACTTGAATTTCTGTCATCAACGTGTTTTTCTAAATGGGATGAAGAAATATTCTTGAATAATGTTTCCCAGTTTTATTTTCTCTTACAATCGATCTCAAATTGATGTATTAGTTCAGTTTAATGCTTTAGACATGTTTACGTTTCCCTACCTTATGTAAAATATAAATCAACAAGAGACTATTAACTAGCTAGTTCTTTGTCAATCAATAAAGTAGTCTAGGGCTTTACATGCGAAAAATGTGTTTCATTCACTTAGTTTTCGCGCATACTTGTTACTAATTATTCACCATGATTGAAATATGGCTCAGTATTAAAAAACTGTAGTGGATTTTATTTCTGGTCACGTCTTGCAGTTCTCTCATTATATACTGTAATTTTACAAAATAACTATGTATGATCTTACATAATTTGACACCTTCAGATACAAACACTAAACGTTTTCAAGACATTCGTAATCTTCTTGGGTAGGTATTTCCGATTGTTCTCAGATCTGTTTTCAATCATTCAGTCACAACGTCACACGTTATAATTTTAAGGTAAATTGTTGTTTATTGATTAAAGTTTTGTTTAGTAAGGCGTTTTCTCGAGTGGTTGTTTTAAAACATTAAATCCCATAGTAGAAATCAAAGGCAATTTAGTCTCCGATACTTATCGTCATTGACCTGTCAATCACATTCATTGAGTAGTTCACTTGGTCACTATTTATTATCAGAAATATTAAAACCACGAAAGGCGAAATATTTAATTTGATGTCGTACAAGATGAAGGGTTGTCGCAGTGAAAACAGATTATTCAGAAATCAAAATATCGAAATAAAGAGGTGATGATGGAAGTTAATTCTAAAATGTAGAAACAAATATTCTTGTCATTTATCATGAGGCAGTTAGTTAACTGGTTGTAAATATATAACTACCTGATCAAATGTGATGAATTTTAGTTTGCATCCAGTCACTTCACATGTTCAGTTTGCAATAGTTGGATCGAAATTTTGACCATAATGTCAAACTGTTTAGAAAACTAATGTTGTTATTCTAAGTTAACAACTTCATGTTCTGTGAATAATAATGAATGAAAGACAAGCTTTTGAATTACAAACAAACAGAAAATCAGGATATTATCAATATCTGATTTGCTTATAACTGTGTATGGTACATAAGTAATCCCTAACGACTACTACAAGTAGGAACTCTTACACTGACAACGTTAGCTGAATGGATCGTAATTCAATGCAATACAGAAACACTAAGAAACTAATTAATAACAACAAATTTAGCATTGTATCTCGAACATTAAAAGATATGTCAAATATGGTACTGATTAATTTGACATCCAAACACAGCTTGTTATCTCAGTTCGTTAGAGGATGTTTCAGTTGCTTAGACAACTGTTTTAGTATCAGTCCCGGAATAGACTGAACTATCCGTGCACTTCCACACGGAACTTCATCATAAGCTATGAATTTGAAACCAAAAGTATTTCTCACGACTTATAGTGACAACAAACAGAAGTCTAATTTAAGCACAAAATATAACAATTATTAACGAGTCTCAAACAATTACCATGAATGATTTATTGTTCATTTTGATAGACTAAAAATTGTATTCGAGAATGAAAGATTATTTTGAATAGAACAAATAGAATTGAGCATAAATCAATGGACATAACCGATATTCTTGTAACCGGGTTAATTCACATTATTTAACTATAGGGAGTGACCTACGAGTTCTATTGGATTTTAAAACATATAAAGACCCCTGTTAGTAAGATCATATTCAATAGCTAAATAAATTGTCATAGGTGATTTTACCATTTTGTAAGTATACTTTATTTTACATGAGATGTTATTCAACTAAAGACGGAAATATAATCACAATAGATGAATCTAAAAATCTATCTTTTTATACCTCTGGTGATTATTTTCGAAGCTGTCCATTCTAAAACTCGTCCAAGTAAGTGACTTTGTTTAACTGTAATATTGTCTTTATTATTAATAATTTGTAAATGTTGTTGAATAGAATAACCCTTTATTGAATAATGTTTAGTATGATTAGATTTTTATGAGTGTATTCAAATACAAAAAATATAGACCACTGGGTGAGACTATAATTTGTAGAAGATATTACGATAACAGGTATATGATTTTGGCACAAAATTCACTCACTAATTTGGATAAATAGAATTTTAGCATTATAACTGACGTCAGTTCATGATGTAAAACAGTAAATCTAATTCCTAACCTTAACCATCAATTATAAATCATAATTCGAATTCCTCACTAAGGTTTATAACCCTCATCTCGTCCTAATCATTAGATGGACACTCTCAAGGTCAGTTTTGTGTCACTCAAATGTTGTCCACAAATTATAGTTTCACCGACTGTTGTTTTTTATAGCTAGTTAATATCTTGGTCACTTAGTTCCAATTAAAACGGTTATGTAATTGGTTGGTGAACTACAAACTTGTACATAGAGTAGTGAAATAAAACCGTCTAATAAAAGCCATGAGTAATATTCGAAATCATATGACGATAATTCATGCCATCGTGCAACCCATTATTTTTGAATAGACTTCTCCACAATCATCATAGATTTCTTATTTATGAAGCATTCAAGAGAAAAATATGTCTGATAAATGTTATACATCATTCATAGTTATTTATAGATATAAAACGATTTTCCATCAACTAGATGAACAAGATTCGAACAGAGAAAAATTTAAATCGACTTGTTTGCCGGCTTCCTAAAGTTTATTACTTTTGCAATGTATTTATTTCTATCATCCACAACACCATAATAATTTTGATACACAGAGAGGTTTGGTCAGGAACTTGATGAAGTAATCTGGCAACCTGTTTCAAACTAGATTAATGTCATATTATGTGATTACATTAGTTTCCATGCTCATATGAAACCAATAGGTTTGTAGCATTTCGTATCATTCATATACTGACTAATTAAAACGAATAATTTTCCACAAACTATCAAATATTGTAAAGAATTCTCTTTCTTTTTTTTCAATATTTACTTCAGAAACTCCAGATGAAATATGTGCTTTACCATTGAAAAAAGGTTATTGTCTACAAAATATACCACGTTTCTATTATAATTCACTTGAAAATAAATGTCTACCATTCACTTATAAAGGATGTGGTGGAAATGAAAATAGATTTAAAACTAAAGAAGCCTGTGAAAGTATGTGTATGAAAAAGACAACAATGAAATCTATAAATAATCAATCAAGAACAACAACATCATGGCAAAAAGTTAATGAGACAACGACACGAATTATCAATTTAACAAAATCAACTTTACAGAAAAAATAGAATGATTTAAACATATCTAAAAGTATTAAAATGTCTTTTTCAAATGTTGTATGTAATAGAAATAATAAAATTTTTGTCAAGTTTTATACTTCCAATGTGACTTTATCAGAAGTAGATGGGAATCCATTCTGTATTGAAATATATCTTTTATTTTCTGAACAAGAATTATTTAATTTCAATGGTTAAGAACATGGGTCAGTTGAAGATATACCACCATGAAAAATCTGATATCACTGGATAGCCGTTTCGTTCTATTGTGGGACTCACTGAAGACAATGGTGGATATGTCGGTCAATTTCGTGGATTGACTGAAGTTAGATACTAACACCATTGGATGCCGGCTCAGTGGTCTAGATGTTAAGCGGTCACTCGCGAGACTGATATGTCCTGCGTTCGAACGTTTCAGGAGGCGAGGTTGTGGATTCGCGCTGTTGAGGAGTCCCACAATAGGACGAAACAGCCGTCCAGTGCTTCCAGGTTTTCCATGGTGGTCTAGCTTCAACTGACTCATGATCTTAACCATTGAAATTACTATAATATCCACAAAACCCATCTGATATTAATTATTTAATTCTTAATCTCATAGACAAAGTGTTGTGTCTTGTGGCTGCAGACTAGATGCGCAGCGTATTTATCGATAGGACCAAAGACGCGTAAATATATAAGAACAGCCTAGAGTTTCGATTGGTCCCGCTTCCCTGTCTAGTCCAGCCAGTCGAGTCCAGAACGCAAGTCTCAGCCTCTGAGATATGAATCACTGTATTTCAAGCATACTCTGTTTAACATATCAATCAACCCGACCACAACGAACCAATAAAATAGAAAATAACATTTGTACAATAATTAGCCAGAAGTGGCTGTGAATGAGGGAGGTAGCGATTAACAGATTGGGAATAATTCATGAATGGTAAATCGTACAATAGTAGTTCATAGGTCAACATAAAGCTCATAATAAGAGGGGTATGAATATGAACAGTTTAGTTGCATAACAATTATACGATAAAAATATACTCATAACATTGGTCCATAAATGGATCCTAAAAATCACCATTCATTATTCTTATCAGGACACAACACAAAGTGAGTTCATCTGAAACGTTTCATCAGTTGTGTAACATTGGTTGAATAAACGTTTTCAAGTCGTTCCATCAATGTTAATAACGCACTTCACAAACCGATGTATATGCTCACCAAGTTCTCAAAAAATGAGAATTTTGACATTCTTTATTTTAGTCGGATCATTAGCTAACCATATTTAAGAATATGTCATCTATAATAATATAATCATTTACAATGGAATTTAAAGTTACCTGAGACTCTTAACTTCTTTTGTTTTCTGAGCAATATAATTCACATGGAACTTTATTATTAAAATATTCATCTTTGTACAAGTCGAATTCAGAAATTATCTTTGGCTACTTAGAAAGACAACAATGTAAACAAATTATCTGTTAGAACTAAATCAAAACCTTTCGTTAGTTACTGGTGTGATGAAGAATAACCTTCTAAATACTGTATCCTTAATCAGTACTAAAGATAATTCACTTTAGTTAGTGACTATTTTGTTTTCAGGAGTAAAACAGAATTGTTGTCAAATTACTCTCTGACGTTTGTATCATAAACATAATCAGAATAAGCATTAACAAAATATCTTTTAGGGTTGTCTGAAATAAGTGCCATTAGTTGGAGGTACAATCACTTTATCCATTCTCCATGTGATGAAAGAATCTATTATGTAACAACGACGTAATCTAACTATTCTAACTAAATATGATAAACGAGGTTAGAGATTGTGTTGACGTCAACATACGTAGGATTAAAATCTTGATAGATTTGCCAACTAAACACTGTTAAATTGAACTAGACAGTTAGCGATGAAATTGGTCATCACTGATCATATGAATGCTATTTTTATCACTTATAGGTTGATGAAAATCATTGGATTTTTCATGGTTTACATCATGAACTGATTTTAGTCAGCCTATCACTGAGGATGTTTAAGGGATACAGCAAAGTGATTGAAGTTAGATATCCACATCATTGAACGATGACTCAATGATATAGAAGTTAAGAACTTGTCAAGAAATCAAAGATTTTGGATTCAGTATCCATTGTCGTCTTGGGTCCACTTGTTAATGAGTCTCATACTAGAATGAAACAAATACCTGGGAGATTTTGGATTATACTGTAGCCATTACTACGATTAGCTAATGATGTGAACTATATAAATCTCCAAAAACCCTTCTATACTACTAAACCAATTTTTGTCCCAAAATTTAACAATTACATAGTAAAGCTAATATGGCAATCTTTTCGCAAGGTTTCAACACCTACTCTTTTAAATTTTAGTATCAATAAATAATACCATAGATGCCTGTAAAAGTGTATTGTTTTGGCGAAAGTACAAAATAATATAAGCGTTATTCTCAAATTAGTCAGTTTATTTTTAATGTAACTGCCTTCATAGTGTATTGTTTCCGTGACTTCGATGCTGTGTTAAATCAACATAATAATTATGAGGTCACAGAAAAAGAACCCAGGATAATATTTGGTCCAGTATCACAACACAGATGAATAAAAAGGTTCTCGTTTAGCGCAAATTATGCAATCTATTTATTTCGTAATTATCGTAGTATCAAATGTTTCATGAGTTTTTTAGTTTGAGTATCAAATAGAAGACTTCTATCTAATTGATCAAAATTAAACTACTCATATAATAAACAGTTGTATTGGTCTTGGAGTGGTCGTTCTGTTTTTAAACAAATACGTTTGTCTCTAGTGAAGCCATAGTAAAATAACCACCAGAAGTTTCTATGTTTATGACTCATGTCAAGTGAAGAATTTATTGATTAACGTCGTCTTGCTGCTTTGGATTGTTTTAAAGTTTTACGTTTTCTTTCTTAATGGTCAAAAACTGATCCAAATCTTTATTTGAATAGACGAATACAGTTCAGTGTCTATAATACTATTTATTTAATGTTTATTTGATAAAATATTTACGGAAGATCATAGTTTGAAATTCTACCACTAGTTCCTGGATAATATCATGAATCTTCTGTAAGTTTCAATGCAAAAGTTATTACAAGATATTTAGGTTACCTTCAAATAAATTGGAACACCTGTAGTGCTTCATCGAGTTATGATAAAATCTTAGAAACAATTAATGTACGCTGTTGGTAACACTAGTTCGTACCCCAACAAGGCGCGATAATATATACCCTCTGCTTGCACGCTTTAGTTTTTTTTCATTACTATTTTAGCCCAGTGGTGCTCAAAATATCTGTCGGAGATTAACACGCCAAAATGTGGGTGGATATGTTTCGGCAATACTTCACTCAACTTAAATCTTACCATTGATAAGGTGTTGTCCAAGATACATACAAGAGTGGACTAGAACTCAGGTATTCCTACGATTTGTCATTCTCAAAACAGCTATCAAAACAGACCTCCAAGTCTCAGTGACTTCTGAGTTTAATATTTAATAGCCTCTGCAACAATTAGTCCTATATTTTTATTTGTAAAGTAGGCGTTCAACCACTTCTAGAATCCTGTTCGTTCATTCTTAGCGCTGTTCGCATAAAGGATAAATTAAAGCTGGAATCCGTTCACAGATGATTTAAATTGATCATTCAAGCGATTGATTGTAGCTTAAATTATAAGTTCAGATGTATTAGAATTGAAAGAGGAGACTAAAACTAAATATAATCTTCTTCAAATTACTTCATATCCAATGCAACAATTCAGTATGCAGAAACTCCCAGTTACAGCATCTGCAACTCTTTGTCATTGGTGAAATACTCTCATTCTAAATCTCCTCTCTTTAGGAATTACATGATCAGCTTATTTTCCACACTCTGGAATAACCTACCACAATTTGTCCACAAAATATAACCACTCCCACCCTTTGTTTGTAGCATCAATGCTTACTTCCCTCTCTGAAATTGTTTTAAATGTTCTTACATATCTCAGTATATCCCATTCCACAAGTGTGATTAAAGGAACTTTAAATGTTCAATCTTTTCTATTAATGAGACCAACAACTAAAGTCCCCCACCTGCTTTTTTTCGTTTTATTTTCGCTAGTTACAGATTATTCTAATTAATTCGTTATGGCTCAGGAAATGACCTTAATACACCGTCCATACATTGCTAGGACGTCCACACAAAAAAGAATTAAATTTTCCCAGCTCACGTTTTCATTTTCATAAAACATGTGAAGAACGTAGTACCTAAACAATTTTTGAATTAGAACACGTTAAACAGTCCAGTAGTTCGAATATCCTCCACATTTATTATTACTATCTATATCAAGTTGATTGTTTCTATAAACTAGCATGAATACTGTACTTATTAATCTTAGAATATATTACTATTCTTATATCATCTATTCGTTATCACAAACTTGGTTTAAAGCTTACTGAAGTTTATACTGAATCACTACACTAATTAGAATTATATAACAGAATTTATTTCAAATGAGCGTGTATCATTCAAAACATTTTTGGATCTTTGAAATGAAGACCAACTTTCAAACTTCACTTATATATGAGCAAATTTAAATAATATAAATCCATGTACACTTTATACGTTATAGTTAATAATTCTGAATTACATAGAACCAATTAGCTAATTATTATTTTTGGTTGTATAGTTAATTGTCTTTTGATTCATACAATACTAATTTATGAATGTCATTCCGTTCCGTCCTAGTATGAGACTCCTCAGAAGTGTGCATTCACTATCCTGCTCACGAGATTCGAACCCAGAACCTATCGTTTTCACGCACGAACGTTTAACCTCTAAACCACTGAGCCAATATCCAACGGTGTTCGCGCGCAAGACCGATAGGTTCTGGGTTCGAATCTCACGGGGTTGGATCATAGATGTGCACTGTTGAAGAGTCTAATATTAGGACTAAACGGCCGTCCAGTACTTCCAGATTGTTCATAATGGTCTAGCTTCTATCGACTCATGAATTCAACTATTAAATAAACATTATCG